ATTAAACAAACAGCTGCCTCAGCAGAAGGAAATTTGAGCCTGGGTTTAGCAAGAGGATAGAGGGGGCTCCAGGGTGGCCCAGGCAGTACTGGGAACACACCAGCCCGCTCTCCTTGACTCAGCTGCTGCCCTGCCTGCTCTCAATGGTACCAGATAAGGAGTGCAAACAAACGCAAGGTAGGTGCCCGCGAATGCCTGCGTGAGCCCCTGCCAAAGGAACAGGAAAACATTCACCGCAGCGGAGTCACGGCCAAGATAGGCTATGGAATAGAAAGGATTAAAACGTCTCATAGGACCTGGCTCAGCTCCCAGGGCCCTCTCTGGACACTGGCACAAGGGCAGCTCCTCCCGGTGCCCCACGCCTCTGCAGAGGCTCGCAGGTCCACAGCCCTCTTTTCCCGGCAGGACTTGTGTTGCAGGCTGGGTACCAACACCCGGCACAATTTCCCATTTATTGTATTTCTATATTATCTTATGTCTAGCGGTGATAGCCTATGGTAGGGACCAAACGCACAGGTAACACAGCACGGCTGTGGAAGAAGATTGTGAAGGCGCTAGGAGCATGTCAGAGACTCAGCTGCTTCAGCTGATGTGCAGATGCCAGGCTGTGTAATATTCACATGATCATCCCTTTTGCAGTGTAGGCAAGTATAGGGGGAACAGCAAGGAGAGCCAGCGGAGAAGGTCAAGGACTAGGAGGGTGGACTTGGCCTTTCTCCTTGTAGGAGGTCCTGGTGCCATTCCCCCACTACATTTTGAATAACCTTAGAAAAAATCAAGTTGCAACATGACTTAGAAGCAGTCCTAGCTGCGATAGCAGCTGGCCACGCAGAACTGCAACCTCAGGGACTGAAACTGCAGAACAGCAGCGTTAACTCCTCCCTGCACCCTTCCCAAACTGCCCCCGGGACCCTGGTTCAGGCCATGTCCAGCAAGGAGAGAGCCTGGGCCCCTTCCAGAGCTGGCTCCCTCCCACCACAGCTGCCCTGTGCAGCACCGAGGGCTGGCACAGAGAGTGGCTAGCGGGTCCTCTCCTCCCGTGCCCACCCATACCAGAGGCATGAAACGCAGCTGGCCACACAGCCCCCCAGGTGACACCACGCTACTTGCTCCTAAAAGCCTCCAAGCGTGGGGCCTCTGACCCCTTGCTCCCACAGAAGCCCCACACGGCAGCAGAAGCTGTATGGCCACCCTGGGCCACTCCCAAACGCTCCCTAGAGACCCAGCATCTGTGCCTTCACGAGGGAGGATTGTGCATCTCGCATCAATGGCTTTCCCTAAATAAAGCGTATTTATGCTCCTTATTGCAATTCTGCTTTCTCATGTACTCTCAAGCATTCCTGGCCACATTTCTCCACAGCCCCACTGCTGCCCCCAGCCTTTTAAATGACAGGGGAATCATGTGAAAGTTATTTCAACAAAATGGTTGTGACAAGAGCATTGGCCTCTCCCTGTTCTTGGATCTCAGACAAGGTTTCTTCAGCCCTACTGACTTTCTGCTTTGTGCCTCTTCCATCTCCACCTCAATACCGGTTTCTGACACCCACAGGGGTTACCGGCAACGGCCCAAATGTACTTTCCTCCGTCAGATACACATTGATGATCCTGATGGGTGAAAGTCAGGCTAGCAGAGGTTGAGTGGGTGCTAACGAGCTCACTTTCTAGTTTGCTAACATACTGCAGGGCACTGCTGCCCAGCCTGCGTGTAGGTGCAGAATCCATACACCCCCCTGCTGCGGAATCGGAGCTGTAAACCCACCAGCTTTGTCAAGTGTTAAAGAACGAGCCCAGCTTTTGGATTAGGAAGAGAGATAAAATTCACCCCAGGGCCACGGGCCAGCACAGCGCATAGGTACCGCTGGGATGCTGCAGGGCACAGAGGTGACCGTCACCCCTTGTTCTCTCCACCAGCAGATCGGATCCCGTTATGCAATCGTTATGCTAAAAGGCAATAGGACAGCCAGAGCAGTTTCAAGGACTTTTGTTATTTTGCCTTCCAGGTCTGCATATCCCAGGATCCACATCCAGAGAGCTCCCGGGAATAACTGTACACCTGGCTGCCTTCCCCAGACCTACTGCTTCCTGCACGGGCAGGGTAAGTGTTGAGGCTGCTGGAGGTGTGCAGTTTAGGATTCCCACCCCAAACGCATGCTGCTGGGCTCAGTTCCAGTGCACCAGCTCTGCTTACAGCCTCCTATTAGCTAGATGCAGCTCAGGGGGTCTCCAAACTTCTCATTCATTTCATCAATGATCTGTGCTCTAATCTCAAGAGAGAACTCTGGTCGCCTTCTCCAGAGAGGGACCAGGGCTGCTCCCCAGTCCCTTTAGCCCATCCTGGAGGTGCAGGTACTGCTGGCTCTTCCCAACACAGTGGCAGTGACACACACCGGTGTCCTGGGGGGACACATTTGCAGTTTCTGCACCAGCCAGCCAGGCTCTCACCTGGTCTTACCGTCCAAGAACCAAGCCCTGCTGTGCCAGGCTGTTAGGGCATTGTATAATAGTGCTGCTGCCCAAGAGCCATCCCACATCAGCATGTTAGCCGGAAAGACGCCGAGGCAGGCTCTGATCCCGTAGCTGCTCGCAGAGCCCACCCTGACCCACTGCCCCCAGAGCATCTCTTACCTCTCCCTGGAGCCCACTCCCAAGGCAGCTCTCTTCCCTCCGCAGTCTCCCTGGCTCTCCCTTTCCCACTCCCCTTCCCTCTGCACCACCTCCCCGGCGTGATGTCAGCACAGCCCTGCCTCCGCATCACACCCCTCCACGGCCACGCAGCCGCCCATCACACCCCACTGCTGCTTCCCTGCCCAACGGTTGCCACAGCGACAGGAGGGGGAAATCCCATCCTCTGGTCCTCCACCTCCCAGGACCTCGCTTGGCATCACCGCTGCGGCTCTTCCTAAAGAGCCTGGAGACCACGGGAAGGACAGGGTGGCAACAGGGAACAGTGGCAAAGGCCAGCGGTGGCCTTGGGGGAAGCCGTGGCTCAACATACCTGGAAGGGAAGGGAGAGCAGAGGCAGTCACGGGAAGCAGGCTCAGACAAAACAGGCACTCACCTTACCCGCAGCAGTTACCACCCGTGTCCCCAGCGCTCTTCCCACCTTTCCACCCTCTCCGTTCATCACTCTCAGCCAGTTCTTTGTTCCTCAGCGCCAGGTGCTCTGTTTCAGGGCTGGGCACACGTGTACCGCGATTGTACAATCCCTCTACAGATGAGAAATTTGTGCTGCTTACCCACTGCAGACAATCTTTGCAGTGACTTCTCCTCACTCCCAAGTCAAGGTCAGAGATCAGGTATCGATCAGCTACTTAAGACCAGCTCCAAACCAGACCATCAGGAGTCGGTGGACTTAGTACTAACCGCAAATCCACAGTGAAAGGTTTTTCTGCAACGTCTGCCGGAGATGGTTTCATCAGGAAGGGAGAAGGGCAGATACTATATTTTTAGGACTGCAGCACATTTTTAATGGAAAGAGATGGCCCAGGGCTTCTCATCCCTCCCCCCATCCAAGATGCTGTTTCTTTTCAGCAGAAATATCGCTGCATTAGAGAACAGGTCACTTCCTCTATCAGTGAGAATTCAGCGTCCCATTTGATGCTGGTCCTTGTGCTACAAATAGGAATTTTTTCCTTTTATAGCTACTGAATAATTGTGTGTATGAAATATGAACACAGTTTTCAAAAGAGTGCCTGATAAGCAGCTTGCTGGAATGAAATGGTTGAACAGAAGGAATTTACAGCACCTGCAGAGCATCACGTGCTGTGGAAAACATTCAAGGTCAACATGACGGAGACAGGTCACAGAACAGCTCCAGCTACCGAGGACGTGGGCTTGAGCTCAGCAGCCTCCCCACAGCAGCCTTTCCCACAGCACCCCAACGATTCATTTCACGCTCCACACTTAAGTAAGGATCAAACGGAAGAAGCCTAGCTCAGAGGAGCCAAGACTTCTCCATCCCACGTACTAGAAAGCCAGGAGGAGCAGGCAGAACAGGTTTTTAAAACAACAGCAGGCAAGTAGTAGAGGACACAATCCCAAACAAGGAGGAAGAGCATAGTTAAACATCCATCATCAAAAGAAACAAGGGAAGAACACCACAAACGCCAGAGAGGCACAAGCTTGCCTTCAAAAAGAGAGAGAATGCTAATCGGAGGTACAGAGAGGCAATTAAAACACCAGAGCACAGAGAGACTCCATGGCGGAGGAGTGAGAGCCCAATTATGCTGAAGAAATCAGTCATTTCTGGAGGAAATGGGCGTTTGCAGCCTGACCCTTTCTGATGCTGGTCCACAGTGCCTTAAACCAAAGGCCCGAACACAAGCAGGGCTGGAAGGGTGGTACGTACGATCCTCCATCAGCACATCAACAACAGCCTTCCTCTGAGGTACCTCGGAGAGCCAGGGTCAGGGTCCCTGTGGGGCAGGATAAAGGGAGGCCAGGAAATGCTCTCGTCCCCTGCGTTAGAGCAGATTTTGCCCTCTGCATTTAGAGAGAGGCACTGGTGGAGGGGGAGGGAGGGATGCAACAAGGTATGAAAGGCAGAAGGAGAATGAGCAGAAACAGAAGACACAATACGTGGCTTCCAGTTGCTGCAGGAGGAGAGGAGGAAATAACATCACCTCCTCCACATGCTGGTGGTGCAAAGGGAGGAGGAAAAAGGCTAGAAATTACATCAGTTAAAAATGCCTTAAGGGATCTCTGGCCAAAAAGGGTCAGGATACACAGGGGCTCAGTGCCTTCAGCGTCACGCATGAAGAAACGGGAGAGAGAAAACCAGCAAAAGGCACCATCGCTATGGTGATACAAAGCATTGGAACACACTCAGCAAGGAAAAGAGATAAAAGGAATTGCAAGGCCCATTTTCAACCGCACAGAACAACATCCTTGAGATAGGATCAAGGCCCGAGGATCCACCCAGCTCAATTGTTAGTTGGCTGTGCTGTCATCTGCCTCCTCTCGTCTGCCACGCTGTCTGTGGGTCAAAGAGGACACAGCAACAGATACAAAATGCAAAAGGGGTTATTTTATTATTGATTCAGAGGTTAGACAAGGCACCATTTGATCTAAAAAAGAAATGCAAAAAAACGAATCAAATGTTATTTTTGCAGTCAATTAAGAAAGTCTCTTTTGCATTTCTTCAGCATTTTGTGAATTCCAGCTTGGTCAAGATGACAGAAAAGCCACCCCATTGCCAAGTAAGGCAGGCTTGGACCAGAGCCGCAGCCCCTCTGTTCAGCAGCAGAGAAACCTTGAGAGGTCTCTATGCCAGAGTTTAGGAATGCAGCAGAACAAGAAAAACAAAACTTCCAGGAAGACGATGGCGTCTTTTTTTCCTTTCCATTTCAGAAATGATGAGTCATTTGTTCATTTTGGTCCTCGCTGACAGGAAGCAACTTTAGAAAAATCACAGCAAACCTTGCAGTGGCCCCAGAGTACTAAAGAGCCCGTGAGACAAGCCCTGAAAGTCCTGGAGACGCCTGGAACGGCATCTAGCCTTACCCTTCTAACAGGCCAGGGACCTGCACCTGATCACTGGCAGAGATGCTTCACTCTGTACAAATTGTTTTGCCTTCCCAAACAGTGATTTCTAAGGAGAAGGCCATCTCCTCTTCACAATGATTCTGCTGAATAAGAAATCCAAACACAAAAAACCAAATCAGCCCCCAAGCCCCTTGCCTACCACCTCCTTTTTCCCCTCCCATCAATCATAACCCCCTCCCAGCTGCCCTCCCTGCCTCCCCTGCACCCAGGGGAGGGCTGCGATGGGTGATGTAGCAGAGCGTGCAGCGTTTGGTGGTGTCTCATCTGGTTCACGGAATCACTCAGCTGGAATAAATGGGAACAAAGAGAAAAAAAATAGATTTAGGGAAAAAAACCAAAATTAATCATGGTTTATGGCAGAAAAAGGCCAGCAAGCTGGATGCAAAGTGAGCACAAGGGGGAAAACGGAGAGTAGAAGAACACATTGTTCTTGCTGTGGAGTAAAACCTTGGCCAAATCCAGGAACACCAACTCGTTGGGAACCCTGCCCCTGTGTAGGGGGCTGCAGCTCTCTGACTCCCTCAAGATGCCAAGATAAAAGCTGCTTCCACTCAGAATTTCTTTACAGTTACTGAGATGCCGAGGCAGCTCTAACACACATTTTCCTCTCCACTACCCTGGAGCACAGCAGTCCTATGCTAAATGCTATCCCGACTTCCCAACGTGCCGACGCCACGCGCCGGGGCTGCCCTTTCACAGGAAAACCAGACAATTGACAAGGCAACGGCCATCTGGGTGATCTCGGGGGACTGCAGGCTGCTGACGAAACCGGCACTGTTTACTTTCAAACCCTCTCTCCCCTCAGTCACATGCTTTCAAGAGCAACAAGTCAACTGCTTTCAGTTCCTGGTGTTATTTCCAGTTTGTTGGAAGGGAAGAGATTGTTTCCCTGGAAAGGATGTACGAGGACAGAGAGCAATTTTCAGACAGAAGAGAAATTATCAAGAAAAAGAGCAAGGGATTCCTGAGGATTAGGCATCTGCTCGGGATGTACAGCCCACAGCAGCTCAGTGCACAGGAGGGAGACAGGCCATCTCCTTGACAGAGAAGGGTATTCAGTAACACTCAATCAGTAAACAAACACAGAAGGCCAAAGGACAAAGTTTCATCTGGGCCAATCTGCGCTTACAGCAGGGTCCTCTAGGAAGGGCCGGAATCCTGCGTGGGCAAAGGTCATCACCAGCCTTGCAGGGTCACCATATAGCGGTGTAACGGCCCCGAGAAGCTGGGGCACTAACCACACTGCACGTGGTGTTCTCAAATGGACACCCTGATGGAGCTGCTTGATTTGCTCAAGAAACAAGCACATTGCCGTGATCTCGTAACGAAGGTTGTTGGCTCAAGGGCACATGAAGACAGTGGTTAATAATGCTGTGTCTCGGGCCTCAAAAAATCATTTGTTTTGCAATAAGGCTTTATTTAGACTTTGGGATCAGGAGAAGCTCAACAAATCTTCATCTCCTTGGCCAAAGCCAAGCCAAGAGTGAAGGGATAAAACCCAAGTCCTTTTCTTGTCCTCAGGAGATCCCAACTTGCCACACAAAGCGACTGTCAGACCCTGACCAGAAACATCATGTTGTTAAGAAGAAAGCAAAAGGCATCTCAGTAACACTTGCTATAGCGGGGCCCACAAATGAGGAGAGGCTGAAAACCCCCAGCTCTCACCCACCCGCCTTCTGCCCCACAAGTCCCATCAGAATGGAAGACAGGCTGTGCTCTCAGGTAACCTGCCATCCCACAGAGTAACACACGTACAACAAGAACAAGCTCTCGCCCAGCCCCGAGCAGCAGCAGGCTGCACTCGCAGCCAAGCTGTCCCTCCCCTGGCTGACACACTCACAGCCCTTCACATGCTGCCCACAACCAACCCCGTGTTTTGTTTCCTGCAGCCAGAGATCATCACCTCTCCAGCACCCTGTGAAGGTCCTTCCTCCCACTGCTCAGTCCTGACCTCCAACATTCTGCTAACTCCCTGTGGAGCAGCCAGGAGTAGCTGAAAGCACAGTGCCTTCCAGGGAGCCACAGCTCTAGAACAAAACAGAAGCCTTTGGACCCAAAGTGCAAACCCCATTTCTGGCAGCCGGTGCCTGGGCTCGCTGCGACCTCTAGGGGCACAGCTCCGGGATCCGCAGACAGACCGACGTGCACATATACCGAGATAGAGACCGTTAACAGCTTCTTTAATAGAGAATTAGCACAGCCCTGCCTTGGGCTGCATCGTCTTGTCCCCTCCTCTTCTACTCTGCTTAGCTCTTCACCCTCCCTAGCCCCAAAGAGACAGAGACAGAGATGAAGACAGAGAGAGAAAGAAGGGAGAGCTCCGTCCTGGGACAGAGCCCTAAACGAACATAACCAGGTCTTTACATGTTGCTCTCGAGAAGGCTGCCAGGATGCTAGCAAACACCACATCGGGAGACTGGGAGGCATCCACCGCTGTATGGATCCCTCGCTTGCTGTAGTAGGAGACCAGGGGAGAGGTCTGCGTGTGATAGGCCTTCAGGCGGGTTTTCAAGGCTGTTTCGTTATCGTCCGAACGGCGGATCAGGGGCTCTCCAGTGACCTGGGAGAAGCAAGGGGACAGTCTCCAGCTAGCTGCAGCCTGGCATGCTCCCCCCGTCTCTCCACAGCTATGACAACCCCTGCTCCCCTCCTCCAAGACAGGCTGCAATGTGGAGCTGCAGAGGTGATCCCCAGGTCCGCAGGGGAGAACGGGGCGAGCCCAGGGCAGCCGAAACAAGTGCCAGAGCAGTCACTGAAGAGACAAGGATTCAGCATCATGGTCTTTCCCCCACACACCACTCTGCTTGTTAAAAGGAGCCCAAGGAGCCTCGAGAGCAGACACCAGCTATGGTTGCTTCCCCAGGAGGGAAGCCAGTCACAACCCACCGCAACTTCAGCTATGGACAGAGTCCAACCAGTTCTGAGGCTGGCAGAGCCCAGGCCGGCTCTGCAGAACGGCCATGCCCTTCAGTCATCCCTCCAGGCCTCGCTCCCCACAGCGCCGTCGGCTCAGGCTGCCCAGGCAGTTCCCCACGCTCCCCAGAAAGCCAGGGCAAAAGGTACAAGAGAAGGAAAGAAATGAGTTTTTCCAGGGATGCTGCAAAGCATCAGCTAAACCCAAAGCAACACAAGCTGTGGCCTTGGGAGCTCACATACATCGTCCTTCATGTGCTCTTTCGGGGGTCTGAACTCCTCGTGATAAGAGCGGCCGCTCCCTGGGTGAATCAGCCTAAGACAGAAAGCAAGTGTCAGCAAAGTAGCCCTGTGCCAGGACAAGTTCTCCTGAACCTGCCACTCATCAGCACAGAAACATCTGCAACAGCAACCCAATTAGCCTCTCTCTATTAAGAAAAAAATCTCTTCTAGTTATTTCTGTACCAAGGGCCTCTTCAGGCATTTAAAAAAGCAGCTGTGCTAGGAGATGGAGGAGGGGTTTTTACTTTATGCTTTACTGGGGAAGGGGTCTAGCTCCTGGAGGTGCAAGGGTGACACAGTGCAACAGCAAACAGTGGGAGATGTCTAGGTGACTGCACAGCCACAGCTGACCCTGGACAGGGTGTTCAGCAGTGCCCGAACATGTATGCAGCATCCTGTGTAAGGGAGCAGCAACAGCTCCAGAGAAGCAAGAGCACAAAGACATTAGCTGTCGGACACCAGGCTTAAAGGCTGAGCTGGGTCACCAAGGATGCTGATTCGTATCGGCAACCCCTATTTACAGGGCAGGGAAGGGGCTCTGTTCAAGGCTGGCCCAGGCACAGGAGAGCAGGTAAGGGATCAAAGCAGGAAGGCTTAAACAGAGCAGAAATCTAATACAGACCAGCACCACAGCACTGTCAGAATAACCTGGGAAATTAGGACTCTCCCCCATAGGCTAGGAAACCCTGCCCCGTGCACCAGGTGTTTGGGAGAGGAGGATTACCGTCCAGTGATTCTCCGGATCAGCAAGGAGTCAGGGATGCTGAACTCAATGACGGAGTCCAGCTTCTCTCTCCTCTTCTCCAGGAGCTCATCCAGCTGCAACAGAGAACACCCAGCTCAGAGGGGCAGAGGCACAGCCAAGGGACTCCTGTCTCCAGGGAAGGAGGAGATGCCAGAGCAGGCCCCGAACAGGAGCTCACATACCATTTCAGCCTGCTTCACCGTGCGTGGGAAGCCATCCAGGAGGAAGCCGTTCTTGCAAGGAGGAGAGTCGAGATTGCTCTCAATCAGCTCCACCACCATCTCGTCGCTCACCTGCAGAGAGCAGAGACAGGCGCATGGTCAGGAGGGACACCCCAGTTTTACACACAGCTGCCTCCAGAGCTGCTGTACCCATGCCACTGCCCAGGCTGCATCAGACCCTTTTTACAGCCATTCCTGGTCCCAGAGGTGGCAGCAAGAGCACAGGGCACTGCTGTTAACAGGGTGAAAGCTGCCTGTTCGGACCTGCCCACGTCAGGGAAGCGCTTCCCGCCACGGGTGTCAATGCTAAGACGTGGCTAATGACACATTTCACACCAGGGACACTCCAGCCTGTGCAGGGACTTGGACCAGCGCTGTAACCTCACTGTTACAAAGGTTGCTGTCTTTACAAGGGAGACCATCAGCTTGAACTCCCTAGATTTTTTATTTTTTTTTTAAACCAATTCACAATACAGAATACTGACATAACCTTTATTTCCTGTTACTTTGTACCTTCACCCACACATCCCTCTCAGTAGGCAGGCCTGGTGAGGAAGGGCAAAGCAGGTGAGCTGTTCATTGACTCTTGTAAGCCTGGTGTGAAGGTAAATGCCCAAGAGTCGCTGACAAGCTCTGGCCTCACTAGTTTTTTTTCCCCCCATCATGATCTCAGCATATTGCTGGGATTAGTGCCTTTTCTACACTGCATCATTTGGAAAGTACTAACAGATGCTGCAGCCCCAACAATAGCTGTTTATTCAAGAGTAGCTCTCCTCAGCAGCGCTGTTTTCTCCAGCACACGCAGCTGGGACCCAGCAGGATTTGGGATCACACTGTCACAACACACAAACAACAGCCCTGGAACAGGAAGGGTATGGGTGGGGGGCAGAACTTCGGGTGAAACAAGTCACTTCTGCACTTTCCTGATTACCCGTTTCAGAGAAAGTGGTCTTGCTTCGTAATCGAGCATAAAACCTCATCCTGAACACTGCTGTGCTCCCAAATGAGTTATCGCAGAGCCAGAGTACGCTGCTAGGACATACCTGGGGAGCAGCTCGGTACCGGCTGCCACACATACATGTGGCACCACCAGCCTTGCCAGATAACGTTCCTATCTTTCATAACCAGCTGGGATATTGCTGGCTTGGTGTTGCAATGCAAGCTTTGAGCGAAAGCTGGAGATAAGCCACGTCGCTCTTCTCACTTGGGGCCTGCAGATTCTCTGTGGGGTGTTATGAGCCCATGATGGTCAGCAGCAATGCCCTAGGTCTGCCCCACACTGCTTAAGCTTTGGGGCAAGGTGCTGCAATTTGCTGTCTCTCAAGGTTCCCCAAAATATTTCAGTTATTTTGGCAAGATAAATAGACCCTCAGAAAATAAACGTGTCATTGATCCTAACTTTTGTCTCTTGGGGATCCAAAGTGTCTCTCTTACACAGCACCCACCGCAACTACCACAGCAACACCCCTAAGTCTATTTTCACCTTACAGTTACAGACAAATGGCATTTACGCAAGAGCTGGGACGCAGATAAACCCTTTGAACAAAGTTTTCTGCCCAACAGGAGTCCGGGCATCATGTGCAGAGAGACAGGAGTGGCAAAGCATGGCTGTAACATCCCGCAGCTCCAAGGATAAACCTTCACCTCAAACAGCATTCAGGAGCCACAAACCAGGCAGTCAGCCTGCACTCCGTGAGCATAAAAGTACTGTGGCAGAAAGAACCAACCCAGCGACACAGGCTGCTGGTAAGCAAAGAGCAATTTTGAAAAGGAAGGATGTTTTTATAGGATGTTTCTCCTGCAAGATAATGAGAAGGAAAACTCCCACCCCACCCCTGCCTTCACCCTGCAATCTGCCTTCCTCCACTAATTGGATTTTGTCACTGAGGCTTCTAATTACAAGGTGCATTTTGACTGCTCTCATTCCAGGTGCTGCCAGACCATCTCCCCTCCCAGCACATCTCCCCCCTCTACCCACCAGCTTCCCTGCATCCATCGTCTCTTTGAGCCGCTTCCCCAGCTCGGACCCCGAGGCCACCATGGCCCGCAGCATGTCGCCGGTTGCCAGGTGGCAGACGCAGTAGGTCTCAGCCAGCTTCGGAGCCTGCGGGAGAGGACAGACACCAGGTGAGCTCACCGGGAGGGTTTCAGAGGCAGGACCGCGGGGGCTGAGGCCCAGCCGGGGTCTGGACCCCCCCCACCCCGGTGGGGTCGTGTCCCCGCTCGTAGCAGCGGCATGGTCTGCAACCGGCCAACACGTGGCAGGGCCCGGCACACAGCCTTGAAAGCCGGG